AGCATACCCACTAATTAGCATGTAATGTAGTTCAGTCATGTAACACAAGATCCAAGTCAATACAAGCATTCAGGCCTCCAACATGTGCAGTAGTTTGGAAACTACAAAAGGAAAAAAAAAAAAAAAAGAAAAAAAAAATTCAATCTGCTGCCTCCTACGGGGTTCTCTCTGCTTACAGCCCCGAGGAGGCCTAATCTGCAATATGGAAAATAATTTACCTGGGAGTATCATAATCAGAATTTAACAACTTGCAAAGGACTCAAATGGTTAATGGTCACGATGACAAGTCATCTTGATGGAAAACTGCTCAAAATAGATTTCTTGCACTTGTCTATCTTCATAATTAATATTTTCTTCCTTGGACATTTTTCCCCATTAACAGGGGAAAAAATGTATTTATTCAAGACAGAAAATCTGACAGCCGTGTCTGACCATTTATTGGCTCCCCATTGGACTTGATGTGCAAGAGAACAGTGCTCACAAATGTTTCATTCACAGCTCTGACAAGGAAGCCTTGTGCCTAATTTAAAATCAGTAGAAAAGTCTAATCATGCCAGAACTTCGATTGTACTTCAGTGACTGGAGCAGAATAGAAACAATGGAAAATGACACCTCATTTATTCAAAACAGATCTATTGCTGTTTTGAAAATTGTACTAGCATCTACAATGTCTTTTACTGCATACACATAAATACAAGCACGAGAAATGAAATGTACTTCTGTGTATCCATCTGACAGCTAATGTCAGTAAAACACATCCTGCGAGATTGACCCTTAAGCTCGAGTTGTTTATGAAAATGAAGTCACTGCCAAAAATTTTACAGCTACAAGACACAGCTTCTATAAATTTAAAAATGCTGTTAAATTTGATAAAATACTAAAACCAAAGCCTAGGGGTCAATATTTGTGACTTTGTTTTTCTCCTAAGTTAAGGACAGTAAGATAATGCTTTTTCCTCAATAAAATTATAATGTGATAGCCTGTAAAATTTTACAGATGATATGCCATGATATTATCCATCCTAATCCAGACATGAAAATGTTTAAAACATTAAAAGTTCCATTGCAAAGAGTGGATAATAAAAGTTCCCAGAAAAAATACCCTGTTCAGCATATCAATCTGCAATACTGTCTTTTCATTAGCCCCATGTTTCCATTTAACTGTTACGACTAACGTCTTATTTACAAGTATAAACCTTGAGTGGGCTAGTTTAATGAACCTCTCATTTCATCTCTTCACTGCAGCATCGTGAACTTTCCACAGAAGAGTTACATTTCTTGACATGATTGACAACATCTTTGTTTGTAGGTGTCTATCAAGCACAACTTTAGTTGCTTTACAAATGTACAGTAGTGAGTTATGTCCTTGCATTCACTTTCTGAAAAATACATTTAAACATTAAAAGGCTTTATAGTGGACAAAAGATAAAAAAGTAGAACTTATCATCATAATTGTAAACAACTGATACATTCCTGGTAGCTTTGTAATTATTTTACTTTGCATTTCTGGCAATAGTGGATTCAAAGTTAAACTAGGTCACAAGTAAGAGGTGTGATCTCACTGCATTCATTTACCTATTGTCTGTTTCAGAAAGCTACCCCATCTTTCAGGAATTAACAGCTTGCTTGGAGACTTATGAGTCACAACCAGCACAGTCACGTAGGGAAGTTTGCATAAAACAACTTCCTATATATCCTGTTTCTAAAAGTCCTTTTGAGGCTTTAATATCAAACTGGCCTACTCAGAAAAATAACCCCCGGATTATGAAACGCTCCTTGGAGAGGATAGTTTTACCTTTGATGTACAATCAAATGCTTGTAGAATCATTAGTGTACAACTGTGAGACAGTTTCTAATATAACTGCTACAAACTATTACTATGCTCATATATAAATAAACATTTACATACTGCCACAGGACGTGACATTGCAGTGTTGCCAGGTCACTGGTCTCTTCCTCCATCCACAGTACTGCTCAGCCACAGGCTTGTTATTCTTTCTGTGTACACAGTACACTCGTCTTGACCGAAATCCACTCCCACAGTCCACACTGCAAGGCCTCCAAGGGCCTGTCCGCCAATAGACATCACATGCCTCCGAAGAACAGTTCCTTCTGACAGGAGATCTGTGGAGGAAATAAATTAAATGGCAGTTACACGTTTCCTTTTGTGCTAACCCCTTATTCACAGAATGATAGAACCGATGTTGGAAGGGACTTCTAGGGACTGATGAGTCCACGCCCCCTGCTCATAGCACAGTAAACCAGACCAGGTTGCTCAAGACCATCTCTGTTTTGAATATCTCCAAGGCTGGAGACTCCACAACCTTTCTGGGTAACGTGTTCCAGTGTTTGACAGCCCTCACAGTAAAAAAAGGTTTTCCTACATTTAAGTTAAATTTCCTGTATTTCATTTTGTGCCCATTCATCATGCCTCACACATGAGGAAATAGAAGTCAAGGCCCTGTTTCTTTAAACCAATTTCTTAATCCTAGAACAGAAAAAAAGTTTTACCTTTAGGAAAACTTAACTGACCCTGAAATGTTGCATACTGTACACTGCAAGTGCTGGTGCATAACCTCCCTCCTGAATACAAGTAATATTTCTATACTGACGCTGAACCTCCTCGAACATTTGAAGCTGCCAAAGTGAGATCCTGGCGCTCAGTAGTAAATGGAAGTTTCAAGATGCACTTCAGTGGAGCCAAAATGTCATTGTTTGTGCAGCAAAAATACTTTAAAATGCTCACAATTCAGTAGTCAAGAAGCACGATAACAATTCCCATGTATGTACTTGTTACCTATTTATTCCCTGCTCTTCATTGTCCTACCTACACATTTGGTCTGGACAAAGTTTTGTGCCCCCAGACCTTCATGTTCAGTTTTAATTTGTCTTTAATTCAGCCTTTTTGAGATTATGGTGTTTTATAGAGAATGCCATCCATCCATGTGCTACAGCACAGTCCCAAGCGAATCTGCTGATTAAGATTTTGTAGAGGTGTACAGCCTATACTTTTCGTATTGAAAGGAGTTGTTTTTAAAGACAGTAAAACAAAACAACAGGGTTCTTACAATGAATGCGTACCCTGAAGTACAAAGTCATACCTTCTCAACTGTTCAGTGTTTACATACCTCATACATACCTCAACAGTACAAACTAAGAGGCAGAACGAGATCTATTTATGGAGAGAAGTATACCTTATTTCAGTGATCATAAACTAGTAAACCAATTGAAGTGGTCACAAAAAATAAGGCCTAGGAAAACTCTTATTTTATAAAATTTGGGCAGCAGTAGACCAGAATAAAAAGCAATATCAGAAGAGACCTAGTTCCGCAGTAATAAAAAAAAGTTATGGCAGATCATCCCAGTTTCTATTTTGGGGTGTGTGTGTGTGTGTGTGTAAATCAAGATCCTCTATTTCTAGCTTTGCCATTAGCACAGTGGAGGACACTGATCACATCCATTACTCTCCTTGGGTTCCTGAATTCATCCAGTGTATACAAAGGGAAGACTCTCACTACCTCCTTTCCTGGTGTTTGATACATAAGAATTTGCGTATTTATACTGCATTGACAATTCTGCATCTTTAATTTGATCATCTAAAGAATCTAACTTGTACTACTTCAAAGTGCATACCTCTTTCTTTCATCACAAGAGGAATTTGGCACCGAAGATCCATTACGAAGCTGACATATAAAGTGACGATGCTGTAAATGTACAGGGTGGCCTACACAGCGACCAGAACACTGAAAAGGGAGACAAAAGGGTGAGGGAAAAGAAAAAGAAACAGCCAAGTTAGTAACAGCAGACTCACCCTTCTAGGCAGTTTCCCCGTTACACAACCCGGTCATAATTCTTGATCTATTTCTCCTTCAACCCCATCACACCTCAGTTCGGATGAGGCATAGATACCTTGGATTCTTTGTGTGTCATTTTGCCAAGATACCGACTTGCCTGCCTATTCATGAAGCTAAATCCATTGCCTAGGCTCTCATCATTTCACATCTCTCGTGCTACAACATTCTTTTTACAGCTCTGACAATCACCGACTTGCCTTGCTAATAATACCTGTGTCAGAAATGTGGCAACAGGAATTCTCTCAATTCATTGCTTTTCTCATTAAATAGTAAATACTGTGTTAATAATTATAAAAACAATATCAGAATGAACACAAGTTTACTGCACAAATGAAGAAAACCTAAGAAAGCAGGCTTCTGCATATTAAATATTGTGGCAACTGCTGTTGAAGCACATTCACGTACATTGTTCTTTGGGGACTTCACGGGTACAGCTATGCAAACTGTGTTCTTATAAGACTGTGAGAAAAGCAATGCACTAGCTTAAAAAATGGAATATGTAGTAATGGATTAGCTTATAAAATATACCGCAACTCAGGTTTTGGATCACATCTTTGACAATTAAAAGTAGCTCAGACATCACAAAATGAAAACAAAACAGGATTTGTGATTCACTGGTCTGAGAGGTAATTACAGCTAGTGCCATGTGGCTCTGCCTTTGTGCAAGAGAGCTGACATTCAGCCAATGATGGCCCTGGTACGCTCTTGTAACTTGTTTCCAGCTGAGCTCTGTAACTTACCTGTCCTTTTGTCGCTCTTGTCCCCACTGTACACAAGTGACCCACACAGGGTTTCCTCCCCACAGGACGATCTCTGTGTCTACAAGCATCTGGCAGCAGCAGCAGCACACTGCCATTGGCTTTTACTTGTTGGCAAGTTATTTGTCGATAGCGAAATCCATTGCCACAAGATGCAGAGCACTCAGACCAGGGACTGGTTACCCACCTACAGGATGCAGAGACAAATTTAGAGCAACTATGAAAGCACTGTAAACTGGCTGGTAGCTTGCAGTGATCCATTTGCAAATAAAAATGCAAAAGAACCTGTCATCGCAAGTTTTAGAATCAGCTTTTTCAGTTGTTAAGCAATTTGAATTTGGTTAACTGATGACTTCTAAGATAACTGTGGCTCAATAGATGCTAACAGAAGTTACACTGCTTGTTACCCAAGAGGTTATATTAGGTAAACCCTATAGACCCAGCTGGATTTAAAATTTCTGAAGGAAGGTCAGTGTACTTTTCCCTAACTTATGAAATGAATGGTACTGATTTAGTTACTACTACGGTGACAGGTGTCATAACTCATCCAAATTTATTACATCAAGATCTTGTTAGATAATGGCTCAAGCAGAACATGTTATTTATTGATTAGAAATTGCAAAGATTTAGTCTGTCTTGGCAGCTAGGAACAATACTGGGGAAGCAGCAGGTGGTAATACAATTTATTTGGCTTAATCTTTTCATAAATCTAGGCTAGAAATACAGAATAGGACTTTATGTGTAGCATCACTGCGATAACAGGAAAAAGAATCTATTCTATTTAGCAATTATTTCATTTTCTTACAGTGGAACAGCTTATATCCATGCAAGGAAGATTAATCTTTTTACGGTCTGGACTCTTGACTTTTTCTGCCTTTTAGAGCTCAAGTACTTTTGCAAACATTTGGTGCAGCGCATGCACAGCAAGTCAGCAAGGCCCAAATTTGGCGAACACTTAAAGCACAAATTTCAGTACAGCTTAAATCCTTATATTTGCTTAACTGTACTTCTGTGCTGTGCGGGAGAGAAGTGATTAAAGACACACAAAACCCTCTGAATAATAAGGGCCCATGACACTGACCGTACATCTAAAGCCTTTACAATTCTGTGGATACTTTAAAGAGCTGCCTCGGGATAACAAGATCGTGCAGAAATCAGTAAATGGGAAATGGAAGGGGAAGGCTGAACATTTTGCACTTCCCTCCCAGGTCAGTAATCACAGGAGGTGAGGCTGGGGAGTCTGGAGGCACTAGGAACCAGACACAGGGCTATTTTCCAGGCATCTGGGATGAGCTTCCTATAGAGCGAGCATAGAACAATCCATAAAAGAAGAACAATCTATAAGTTAGCATACATGTATAATTAAAGGTAGAGTTAATTATGTTAGTATACACACAATTCCCTTCCACTGGTAAATTCATAAAGTCAAATTACAAGCAAAATATACCTAAGGATTTAGGTCCCAGTCTGTTTAGCCATATGAAATAACTGGGTTTTGTGGTGAATACTCTGGGTCCAGTGATAACCAGGTTGTAAAGTCACACACTGCAGTCCTCTGAAAAGGCATGACCTTGCTCAGGGGGGCACCAGGCCCTCTAGTATCCTCCAAACTCCCTGTCATCTGCTCTGAATGGCTGGATTTTAAGAGGGAAACCTGCAACTGAGTCTGTGTGTTTCAAACTATTAGTTCTATTTCAGTATTTTTCCACTGGCAAAAAGTTTGCTTATTATGGGCTGGCTGGAGTTCAGACTCACAATTTAAGATGATCTGGTTTTTTGGCTGCTAATAATGAAATATAAACAAATTTCTCCTGATATTTATCTGTTGCTATGTTTTCTGTATTTAGAACAGAGTTTAGAACATACTGGCAAGATGCACTCCCACAATGTCAGCTAAGGTCTTAACACTTCTCTCCAAACATTTTCCAGTGAGGGACAACTCCAAAATGTGTGCATGCCTTTTCATCCCACATGGATTTTTACGTTGCTGACAGCGATGGCCAATTCTTTTAAGCAACGGAAAGCACTTGTTTTGAGGAGTCCTGTGGGATTTCCTGCTAAAAACCTAGAGCAACGCCTTGCTGAGCTGGAATGCTCAGTGCAACTCAGGAAGTCTAGAGGTGAGGTTTTGGCTTTTGGAATCAGATGTTGTGACGTAAAGATTTTCTGCCCCAAGATCACAAGGTACCACAGCTGATCCAGCTAGAAAATTGGCAGGGAAGGACATGCAAGGAGCGTGACACTGTGGTGTGGAGCATTAGAGACAAATGAGGCTTTCCACAGTAAACATCCTACTCAGAGCTCTGCTGGCACAGAAGGAGAGAAGGTGAACACAGATTCCACTCACAAGTATCCTGGCTGCTCTAAACATGGGTTTTCTCTCAGGGCATTGGCACAGATTCCCCAAAACTAGCACATCGGTGTCTCAGAGACACCTCCAGCTTAGCTCTCAAGTGTGGTAGCAGCAGGGCTTGCTGCAGCAGCATGGAGACTTGCACAGATCTCATTTATTCAGCCAAATCAAGCGTTCCCCTACTTGCTTGTGATCCATTTTCACATCTCTTGTGCTTTGGGGGTCATGATGAAATAAACCCCACATTTCAGACTCAGAGTATAAACACAGAAACAATTACAGGAGGCTGTGAGTGCATTTCAATACACATAGAAATGGAGTAGAAAGTAGTTTACCTGGCAGGGCAGTCAGCTGTGTTGCATGACTGGTAAATAATCACTGGCTTTTGCAGCTCTCTGCATAATGATTCATTTACTTTCTGTTTCTCTGCATTCATGCACTGTAGTCTTCTGGAGCGGGTTCCTGAATTCCCACAGCTAGCAGAGCAAGTACTCCACTCGGCATATTCCCATTTATAATCTAAGAAACGCAATTGGAAGTAGTGTGAGAGAGGCACTACACATTATAACGTGTCTTGGCAGCATATTCTGTAAGCTAGATAGATACCGCATCCTCTGTAGAAAAGCAAATATTTCAGCATTGTGAGAAGGAACCATAAGCCAAAGTAGAATTTAGTCCTGCTCAGCTTCCCCTCGCGTTCAGCCCTTACATATGAGCATGAAGTTCTCTAGAAGGCAAATGGGATCAGCATATGTGCACACAAAGGGCAGAACCTGGCTCACAGTAGGAATTGATGAACTTCTTTTAAAACTTTCATAACATTTTTATACAACGAGCATTAAAAAGAGGAAACTGTAAATCAGGTTCTCTAGGTTTCCTGCTGTTCCTCAGTAAGTATATTCTGAAGAAAACTCCTCTTACTCCAGACACTTCACGTAATTTCAGGATTTAAGAGAATCCTGTACTAAACTGTAGAAAAGTATTTAATGCATAAATGATCTGCCACCGAGGCATCTGGCAAGACGAAAAAGAAATACGGTTTTAAAGAGCATTTTGTATAAAAACCCAATCACCTCTAACAATTATTACCTTTATATTTAGTCACAATTCCACACTTACCCCTTCCCCCACTTTTTTTTTTTTGACGCTTAGTAAAAGATGAAGTACTATGCAATGTTGACAGATTTTTATGTGATCACAGGAGGAGTCAGATTTTTCTGTAATAACGAAGAATAATTGATAGCTACCAGCTGTGTCCACAGGCTCACTCTTCCAGCACATAATGAATTCTTTAGCTTATTGTTTTTCAATGTTTCCTTATTACTTCTGGGTTTCTTAAAATAATACAAAAGGGCCTTTTTCAAAGTAGAAATAGTTAAATTTACTGACTGCAACTATGATGGAGAGACTGTATTATTTGTTTAACTAGGATGATACTGCTCAGAAGTGCCCTCAATATGCCTACTGTGCAAAAACCACTAAAGGAGATTCTGCAGTCTTACAAATGCATGAGTATTTCAGTGATCAAACATTTACATCAGCAAGAATCAGAGTTAAAGCTCACAACTGGAAAACAGAATCTCCCCAAAATACTGACCAGCCCCACTGCAAAGTGTGTTGGGCAGCCAAATGCAGCCCAGCTGAAGACTACAGGTGGATAGTTCAATTCCTGGCTAGACCTGTTCAGAAGTCCTAACTTTAATGAGATCTCTATTAGGACTAAGGCCTGGATGCATTTTTTGATAAACTGTATTAGGATATATTCTGATTCAGTTCATAAATATTTTGATTTACTTTTGATTTTAAAAATGAACATTTTGATCATAAATACGTTACAGTAAAATTGCTTTGTAAACAACTGACTCCACAGCCCCACACATAACAGAACCATCCTCAATCATAAAAGTAATCCACCGGCAGTCACTGAGAGTACACTACTACACGGCACGGCAGATTTGCAAGATATGATCTTACAGCTTGAGTCCTGTGCACATGAACAGTAAGCCAAATCATATTGATAGGATAATAGATAAATCACATACAAAACCTGTCAATGTCAACAGATACTTGCTTTTAAACCTGATTTGCATTCCCTGGGTATCAAGCGGTTAGAGAGGATTTTTTTAAACTGTCAGATGGAGTTAGGTGCTTTGCTGCCAGACCCTTAGTAGGATCTAAGTTCCTGACTCTCTTTTCTAAAGCCCAATAACAATGGAATTAATTTCTAAAGCACTTTAAATATTTACAAACTTAATGTTTGCACGTGCAGCCTATTGTCCTGCTGGTGCATATGTAAGATTCTTCTCAAATTCATCTGTCATCCTCAGGTGCACGTTTTATAACCCACTAATGGAAATGTAGTTTTGTGCAAGCACATTATATTGGAGAACATTACAAAACGTTCTTGAAAACGTAACACTGAAACTGATGACTGTGCTATACTATACTGATACGTTTAATGGTGACTACAATAAGATGGCTAACACATCATTGTAAAGACACTGGAATATGACAGTTATATTAAAGCTATTTTGATTGTAATTAAGATATTTCCAAAGTTGACCTCAAAGTCAGTTTTGTTTCAGTTTGGTGGGCTATCATGGCAGCAATTTGTATGATCTGCTGAAGGGGAAGCTGAGAAAATCTGCCTGATTTAAAACTGTTTAAGCAGCAAGACACTGAATCAGGCAACATTCAGCTTCTCAGGTAAGAAATGAAGACCCCCACATGATATCCGGATACACGTTAATTCCCATATCCAACCCTGAGTATGGATATTGGCTATTGACTTTGCCATATGTGAAGTTAAACATGTATTTATGAATTATTTCTATGTATAAAAGCAGGTTAGTTCTCAGGAAAGTCTTTACAGAGGGAAAGAAAATAGTTTAAAGTTCAAGAATTTGTCATATAATTTTCAACAAACCTTCCTTCTTGACATTTACCCAAACTGACATTGGTTTTGCACTAGCTGAAGTCCAGCATTGGAATTGTCCAGCAAATTGACCAGAGTTGGTGTTCACCTCTAGGATATGACCCCCAACCAGGGTTCTGTATTCCAAGGTCTTAACTTCCTCAATTGGACTATCTCCAAAAAGCCAGCGAACTGAATTTCTGTAGCTGGGCAGCACCGGGCATCCTAAAAATCAACAGCATTTTAGCAGGTTTATCTAAACACATGGAAATGTTTGTAAGTACGCATGATTGTGTGATTCAACATAAAAGACCTTACTGGTCTAAATAAAAACAAGAGTAGGCAGAAATTCGCTGAAGTCCAAGCTATGGCCCAAAATCCTGACCACCCCTTGAGGGTTATCAGCTGTGTAAGCTGATCTGTACTTACTACAGATCTTTATATTTTCCCTTTCAGTAAGTTCTTACAAACTTAACTTCTGTATGAATGAAGTGGGGGGGGGGACGGGACGACACACACACGACAATTATTTAAATGGCACAAAAATTTCATCCCAGACTACAACATGCAAATAGTTCTGTACTGAAAGGGTTTCTATCTGTTTTGGAAAGGCGCGATAAACACATTAAATGAAATTGATGCATTTTGACTCCACAGGCACAAGCAGGGACGGAAACAGAGGTATTCATTTAGACAGAAAAATAAGGAGTTCTAGAGCCCAGCTGAATCCCATCCCATTGTTCTCAAGTATAGCTCAAAGAGAAAATACACAGCTTCAGCCTCACAGTGAGTCACCTGGACAATGCCTAAAGGGTCGCCATTTAAAAATGTTTTTTGAAAAGCTGAATCAAAAAATAATTGTGTCTCGTACTCTGAGGCTCCCTCTCTGGTAACAAAAAGCTGACATATGGTTAGGAAATTCAGAAAGTCACCAGACCCAGACTTGTAGGAATTACACTCACTTTCTCCATGGGGCCCTCTCCATCTTAATGAAATGAATAAGTAATTTAAATGAAAAAGCAGGTAAGATAACATACCTATTCTTAGTGGATCTCCAGGTACTACACTGACATTTGTACCAATTCCAGATGCCATTAGGACACGCTTTCTTCTGCTTCCCTTTGATAATAGAGTGTTATTCTCTGTGTATCTTTGTTCTGTAATACAACGCATAAGATCTTTTCTTAGCAAGAATTAAATAAAGATGCTAAAAAAAATTGTATCAAAATATCCAAAATGCTAGTTATGAAGCAGAAGGATAATAGCGCTTTGGAGTTCTTTAGGATCAGCTTCATTTATGCAGTTAAACTGTCCATCTAACAAATATACTTCAGATATGCAAACAGGGAAACACAGAAATGATTTATAGTGTTTGTGCAAGTTTCTAAATTAATCAGATTTACTGAACTTTATTTATTAGAAAAATAAGCCTGTAACACTTCGTGTAAAAACAAGATTTACAGGATGTATGATGTATTTCCTGTTTCTCATGACTACGTTATTTATTATTTCATTACCAGCCATTCACATACTGAAACATACAGAGAGAAAATAATTATCTCAATGGAATCAGGCCAATTCCTCTGTTCCATTAGATGGAATTATGACAAAGTGGTACAATAGAAAAAAAGAAGAAAAAATATCTTAGAATCTCATTATGCATAGAGATAGCATAATGTATGTGGAATCACTATAGCAACTCCTCCTTTTTATCATGCGCCAGACAGAATAACTGCCAAAAATGTGGGCAATCTGTCAGTAACACACAGTTCTTGCCACTTAGTCAACATTTCTGTTTTAATGAATGTGCATAATGTCTATGATTATCCTTCCAGAACAGTTTAAATCTTTTGTTATATTCTAACTTGCATGGGTTGTTTCACATTGCTTCAACATTTTTCCTCAGTGGGCAGTGTCTGTCCAGAGCTTCTTGCCTGTCTGTGTAAACACTGGGACAGAAAACTCTCCACAGAAGCACAGTGGGGCCAGTCCATGCAGGCAAAAGGGTAGCTGCCTTCTCAGTCCTTAGGAACTTTTATTGGAAAGGCGGCACAGATTTTGTTTGGCTGCCCCTGATCAGGCAGTAATTGCTGGAGCGAAGTCCAAAAGGCTGACATGATGTTGCTTCAGACAACATTGAGTCAGTGCAATCTGCAAGTCCTGACACCAGAAGTCCTCCCATTTCATTGCAGTTTTGCACAGCCAAAAAAATTGCAGAATTTGGCCCTCTCCTATCCACTCAAGATTTATTTACACTAATGTCATGTGACCAGGAATAGAAACGAAGTTCGGACTCTTGTGAGCAATCTTCCCAGTCACGTCATTATAATAATATTCCTCTCTGGAACATCTGAAAGTTTCATGTAGTCCAGGAAAACTGAAACCAAGAAGGGAGCTTCAGTCTACACTCATCCTCACACAGAGGCTCCCATTATGTCTTTGGTACGTCTTCCTTGGCCAGCGGATCCAAACATCTATAACCTGCCCTACACATGTGTGCCTAAGAAAGAAAGCTTTGTAGGAGGATTGGCCACGTATAACTGCGTTGTACTTCATACAGAAAAATGGTGAGAAAGTTAATCTTGAGCTGAATGACCCATTTATTGGAGCTATTTGCAAGGCATAATTGTATTATATAGTATTACATTATTAATCTACTTACAATAAAGTCATTTAAATGGAGTTTTTCTTTACATTTTCTATTCTGAGAGTTAGCAGTTCATATTCAGAATTTTTTGTTTTCCATGTCCCTGCATTTTATTAGCCTCTCTAATTAAAAAAAAAAAACAAACAAAACCCCAAACCAGCCTTTGCTTTCATTTCACAGCATTTCCCTGCAGATTTTCTGAATAACTCAAGCCTGCCTGATTCCCTAGATAAAAGCACTGGGAACAATGTAATATGACAGTGGGTTTAGTTTTCTAATGTTTCTGCTGGTTTCAAGGCTGATATTTGTTGCCTGAAGGAAAGGAGATGGAACAACTTTTGAAGAAGTCACAAGTCAAACCATCTGTACCTAGATCCACTATTACAGGAAACACAAAATAGAGAACAGATCCCCAGGAGTCAGATACAGTCAAAAATTACAAGTTTACAATAAAGTGTTAAATATCCCCCAACTATTTTATTGGTTAAACTTCATAATTGAAGTGGCTAACTGTTGTTATCAGTAAGGAATTCTCGTTTAGCACTTACCAGTTAAGTGGAGAACAGACTCAGCCTCACGAGAGCGTTAGCTGCTCTGCAAGCGTATGTTCCTGCATCTTCATAGGAAACATTCCTCAGAAATAGAGAGCCGTTCAAAACCAAGAAAGAACTGGTTTGCAGAATGTCTTTCTTCTTAAACCATGTTACATTTGGTTGGGGAACACCTTTGCAATGCAAAGAGAGATAAACTGTAGGGTGTATATTGCTAACTGCTACCACAACATTCAAGAATCCTAAGTTCCTTTGTCATAACCCAAAGTAACAAGACTGCAGTCAAACAAGTACTTTTTCCGCTCACAACAAAACAACTCAGCTGTGAGCCCTATTGATCAGCATCCTGCGATATTAAAAGTTAAGCACTGTAAGACAAACTCACAGAACGGCTTTACAAACAGTCACCAGTCCTACAAAAGCAACATGCTCTTGTGTCTCACTACTGAAAGATGTGAGGCCATTAACCCCAATCAGGACCAATTAATGTAAAGATCTGCACAACATCTTTTTATTCAACCTGCATCCAGAATATATGAAGGAAGGAATGAATATTCAATTTCTAATTAAAAATAAAGAAAAAAAAAAAAGAAAGAAATGGAGGCAAAATATTTCTCTTGAAGAAAAAAAAGGTTATCTTCATCAATTAGATTAGAAAATAGATGTGGCCAATTTCTGTCAACAAAGCTCCTGACAACTTCCCCAAGTAGCAGATGTTGTATATACACCTTGTAGCAAAGCAGTGTGAAGGCAAAGGGACAGAAAGAGCCCACTAACAAGGGGCTCAGCTCTTAAGCAATCTCATTTACCGTGTTACAGAAAGCCAAAAGTCTATCATCAGTTCTACTCCAGTGCTTGAACTCTGAAAAAATCAGCATTTTCAGATAACTTGTCATTCTATGTTTTAATCAATGACTTTGGACATTTATTTTTAATTAGATGATTTTTCCACTGGCACAGTACCACCTCTGTGGGAGGACTTCTACTGTTTTATTTTCCTCAAACATTTGCCTTTAAAAAGATATTTTGCAAGCTGGCAAATCAGACACGTCATTGCTTGTGCTCTGGTTGAGCTGCCGCAGCAGAAGTGCTCTTTCAAAGTTCCAAAATCCTAGAGAAATCACGGGGTAAGTGTGACACAGGCGGCACAGCCACTAGCCCCAGAGGCGCACAAAGGCGCAGGGCACATGACAAGTCAGAGCAGTTAAGTTGTCTTTCACCTGAACTCTGGTTTCTCTAAATATATTGATAGGTGCTCACTAGAGACTACCAAAAGGGGTTCTGCTCTAGAGGCTGACCTGAATGTGGGACATTTGGAAGTTTCAGCCATATTGAATGCTAATTCAGTCTCCTCTCTTCACAGATCATTGTGCAGTATTACTTTACAGATGATGTCTTCATGATGTGGAATAGCCCTTAGGAACAACTTTAACATTTCAATCACTGGCTTAGCACTTCCAATGCACACCTCAAGTTTTTCCTTTACTGTAATAGGAACCAGACATATTTTTTGGAACCTGCTATTTTGCTGAAGGAAAAAGCTCCCCCCACCATTTTGTCTAGAAAGACAGCAGAGAGAAACACTCTTCTGCGTAATCACAGATTATATTCTAGACTATTTAGCAACTGTTCAGTGCTTTTAAACTCATGAGATTGTATTTTACTGAATAAAATTGCATAAAACAAAGTGCAGATCTGCAAAGTGCACAAGGGTCCAAAAAACCAGGCTGTTTTTCAAGTTTCCAGAAGAAGCTTTATGCCACTTTGAAAAATCCTTTTGGAATTAGGATGAGGTCTTGTTTTAAGGGTCTTTTTTCCATTTTACCCCAGATTTCTGGCTAAAGTGTATCATTCTCAGACATATTTTTCCTTTACAGTGTACTTTCCATGGCCATTCAGGCATATATCCTTACTATACAGATGGGCTGAGGAGGTGTTGTGAGGATGCTGAGCTGTTTTAATCTAACCTAGAGGTTTGCAGCCAGACTACCCTCACTGGCACCAAAATCCTGCAGACCAGTCAGAGCCAAAAATAAGCCAGAAGCAGCACAGTTGAGATGGGACTAAAGTCAAAAGATTTAAAGTCAAATTCCACAAAACACAAAAATGTTTGGAAAGTTCTAATTTAAGCTTTTAACCTGAGCCTCTATCAAACGTCAGCCCAGTATCACCCTGTGATACAGTCCTCCCTCTGCTCTCACCATAGCATTCAGAAATGTACCTCATTCCTGGGATTTAACTTAAGTAAAATATTTCTTTCTTCCAAACTTGGTTTGCATCCCTGAGTTTATTCCAGAAAAATTGCCATGCCTCTACTCTTCTACCCATGTCTCATTCAGAGATATGTAGAGTCTTTTAAAACCTGATTGGAGTTCAATTTGCAGAAGAAATCTGCAGAATAGCTTTGCCTCTCATTTTAAGTTCAAAATTAGGTATCTGTTGCACACCTTAGATTTTAGTTTAAGTTATAGCAAAAAATTCCTATTTCTTTCTCCAAAGACCTGTATACCTTTCTCTTTAGGGGAGACAAGCAAGTAATACCACGCACACAAGTAAAATCAGACCATTTCTCCATGAATAAAGTGAGTGCACAAGCATAAATTCTGGGTCTAAGGAGCAGAAGTGTGGACAGAGGCCTGCAGGGCGGTCCAGCAACCCATCCAACTGAAAGGCCCAGTGGATCCATCCAAGCAATCTTAGGGGTGCTGCCACTTACAGATAAAGTGGGAGGAAAAAAAGCCATGAAAAATGATCAATTAAATACATAATGAAAAAACCAACACTATCAGACATTATACATGGTTATGGCACACTGTCATTTTAAAACAGAGTTAATGTTACTTAGATGCCTTCAGGGTGCATCCATAAACGTGAGCTGAAAATAGCAGTGGGGATAATCACAACACTCCTGCATTGTATTTTATCTAAAACTGCTAAGTAGTAAGATTTTTATGTAAGAGTTAATTATGTGAACTGTATGCTGAGTCTCTGTGAGCTGGCCTCTTAATCATTTTGAGGATCCTTCAAGTTTTTGCATTTCATGGTTCCTTTTCTTTCCCTGACCTTTGCACTATGTGGAAACCAATGCAAGTCTCTGAGAGTGAGCCTGGGAGACACTGCACCATCTGCTTAAGAACAACTGGTATTTGCAATCAAGCTCCTTCTGTGTCCTTTTTCATGGGCTTTTGGTTAGGTTGGCATTAAGGGTATTAAGGCAAATCCTCAGCTTGGGCCCTGAGCTAAGGAAAAAAGGAAGATACCTTTCAGAGGGGAGCTCAGGGACCTATTACAGGCTGGAGCAGAGCATGAAGGGAGGTGAGGGGGCAGGACTCCGCACACTCCGCAGTCAGGACATAGCTGTATGCTAGAAATCAGGGGCTCTAACCCTGCCTTTCAGGGGAATCTGAAGCTGGCAAGCACAAATGTGATATAAAGCTTTCGGAGCTGTGCATCCAGAGAGACAGAGGAGAGAATCTGGCCAGAAAAAGTTTTATTGTGTGGTGCTATCCCATCTGCTGATAAACACCCTATAAATGGCTTAAAGAAATAAAGCAGGAGAAAAAGACATCTCATAGTCCAGCTCCTTTGCATTCTTCGGCAAAGCAGTGCGTATACATTTCAATCTCTTCTGGACAGCTTCAGTTTATCTGTATGTTCGTGTTGCCAGTGAAAAATCCTTTTCTGCCATAACTCTCATGAGATGCACTGAGTTCTTATGCATATTGTCATTTCTGGAATTTCTATCAGGAGAAACTCTTACTGTTGGAGGATACTAAAGCCCCCTATTTTTAGGTGTGCATTTACTTTTTTAACTGTCTCTGTGCTTAACAGTGCTTTGCATAAAACTCTTTCTCATAACACAGCACACAGCACAACCCCAGCACACGGTCACCATTTACACATTTCAGGTGAAAACGCTTCCATCACGCAGATTTCTGAAGTTTTTCCTTTAGAAATTAGACTCTAGATTTACCACTCCTGAGGTAAGATGTTTTCTTCCCTACTGCTATGCAGCACTGCACACCGAGTTATGTCTCATCTATCAGCTCTGGTGAGAGAGCAGGCAAAGTATGTAATTCCCACATTCCTCATGACAAGACTCTTACAGTAGCACTGTGAAAAGCACTGATTTTCCTACACAGAAACTACAGGATAGAGTTCAATTATACCACCAAAAGGCAAGAAAAGCTCTTTTTTTCTAGGCAAATAGTTAAGGCCTAAAACCTGTGCTTTATCCTTTAGCATTCACATAAGTAAAACTTTTAAGTATTGTTTTCTTATCCAAGGAGAAACTAAATTAAGCAAAAATAAGCCAAACCACTAGGTGTTGGTATTTTCTTTTCTTTTTTTTTTTTCTTTTCTTAAAGGTGACAAACTGAATGGAGCTGGAATTATACTTAAGCTTTGGGACATATTTATAGGACTTCATGGAGGAGTTTGTCCTGTGCACAAGGTTCAATTTTACTGCAGATGCTTGACTCTGCTTTATATAAAGGTTGATTTACATAGGGGCTTTACATGGACAGAAATAACATTCACACTGTCTTCAAGAGCCTTTTCCATTACAGAATTGTAGCAGAAGACTATTAACAGAGATGTTTAAAAGCTAATTACATTGAATTTTAGAAATATTTCCTCCTCACTGTTACAGTTTTCTGCCCTCTGCTCTGACTCAAAGCAGTTTCTACTGGTGTCATTTGTCCTTTCCCGGACAGTATTAAAATGTGTCTTTGCTTTCACCATACTGTCCAAAGTTAACACATCTACATATCCGTCAGAAGACACCAAATCATTCTGGGAATCATTTCCTAGACCTTCTCTTCAGGAAAAAAAGTAAATCTTCCAGTTTGTAATCCTGGAAGGAAGTCATTCCCTATCTACATCCAAGAAAATATTACTTTCAAGCTGAAGAATTCCTGGTTTGATCCCCAGCCAGTACAAAAAGGGGAAGAGGTAAGAGATGGCCTGTAGCCACCTTTGTTTCCTTCATACCCCACCTCCACGCAGATGCAGCTGAGGATGAGCCCAAAGGTATCGACTCGCCCAAACTGCCAAAGGTTCAGAATCCCTGAGCACAATTTAGATCCCAGTGATTCAAATGGGAGATCCATCACTGACATCAGCTAGTAGCAGAATCAAACAGTCATATCCCTATGGGCTCCAAGTCAGGAAA